CTCACTTGCAGGTTAGGAAAGAGTAAAGTGATCAAAATATCCTGCCAGCCTCGTTTATTAGATAATTAGCAGTTCTCTTCCTGTATCAATTGTCAGTCAGCCAAAAGAGGTGTAAGTTTCCTTTCCCCAGTTCCCGTTTCACACACACCCACATTTTGTGTGACTTCACGAAAACAAGCCAGAAGCTGTCTTTTCTTTGGCCTGAATAAACTGTATCTTCAAAGACCTTCCCTCCTGCACCGAGGTTTGGGTTGACCCTGGGTGCATAACCCCAAGAGAGTTTCACTTTCGTTGAGAGGAAGGGAGGACAGTAAGTTCAGGGCTGAAAGGGGCTTTTGAGATCATCTGGTCCAGTGATTCTCAAACGCCAACCATTTGCCAGACTAGCTGACTACAAAAAGACTTCCCCCTGGAGCTTTTCATGATACAGGTCATCCCATCTCAACCCTGGGGATTCTCACAGTGGGACGACATTCAGGGCAGATTCTTCTGCTTGGCCATGTTTTTAGACCAATAAAATGCAGCCCAACTTCCTCATTTTAAGTGAGAAAATGGAGGCCCAGACAGAATGACATTCAGTCAGGTATTGACAAGGGCGAATCAAAACTCCCAGTCCTAGGTTTTCCACTCTATTACACAGCCTTCCTAAAACTAGAACTGTAGGCTCAGGGGCTTCAAAAGCAAGTTAGGGTTCACAAACTGAGATTCTAATGAGCTAAACGATCACTCATTTTGAGAGCAACGCTGGGCTTTCCTAAACAAAGAAAACCCCAGTGACTAATTACTTTAGCCCTTGAATTCTAGTTAAAACGCCTTCTACACTTCCTAGGCTTCTTCCTATTACCTCAGCACATGAGACGAGGAACAGGGGAGGGGAAATTTACTTGTTTACTTAGCAAATATTTAAAAATAAGCCTAAACACCTCTTAATATATCAGGCTGTGCCAGGTCCTAGAAATATAGCTGGTGAACAAAATAGACAGTCTCTACCATAATGGAGCTTACAGTTTAGTGAGGGTTAAGGATAATTAAATAGGCAATTTGCTATTTAGTATGGTGAGTGTTATGCTGAGTGGATTACAGGGAGTTACTAAAATTGTAAAACCATTTAAAAATGACAGAGGAGTGATTTTGACCAACAGATATTTCCTATTGATTAAAAATGGCCAAAGAAAATTAAAGACATGACTATGTTCATAAGTGAATAGAACTATAGCAGTCTGAATCACCCAAGCAGTGCCTATGGTAGAGTGGAGAAGTTGGCAAATCCTCTTCCCAAAAATCAACTATAAAACACAGTTAAAGTCTCATAAACATGCATTTCAGGGCTCTGGAAATTGACTAAAGGCAAACAACAAGTTGAAGAATGTTGATTCAGAAAAAGCTGCTGGAGCTGTATGTAAGAACAGAGGGAATCTGTGGCTTCCTTTCTTGGGGTGGTTCCCATTCCCTCCTCTCTATCTCTCAGCTCAGTCAGTGTGGTTATTTTGCCAGGGTGAGGCTAGAGCTTTGTTACTGGAGGGGGCTCACTTGATTTGGAGTAGGAAGTAAACGCACGTCCCACTATGCTATGGTGAAAGTAGCAGTGTTGGTAATCGGCAACTCTGCTAAGCAAAGTCAGTTGCTCCACTAGCCTGAAGTTGCAGTCCAGTCTGATAGTGTGATCAGAGGTGATGCAGGACGTCAATGGGGAGTTCTTAGAACATAGTATTCTCAGTGACTCATCCCTCATCTGAAACAGTAGAGACCAAAATGCAGTTCAATCACATTCAGAATTCTTTAAAAAAAAATGAATATATCTATATCCAGCAGACCTATCTTCAAAACTAAAGATGAAATAAAAACATGCCTAGATAAATAAAAACAGATACTTTGCTAGCGGTCCAGCTTTACAGAAATACTAAAGAATACTGAAGCCCTTCTCGAGGACAGGAAATGACACCAGATGTTAGGGAGATTCTACAGAAAGAAATGAAAACTGCTAACAGTCTATATAAATATTTTTTCTCCTCTTAATGACTTCAAAAGATACAAAGTTGGAACAATTAAAAAATGGAAGTAAGAAAATAGTTCCTTTACAGTAGCAGCAAAAGAAATAAAATGCTTAGAAATAAATTTAAATCAAGAAGATCTGAAAAAGAAGAGAGAGAGTCCATGTACACAGATTAGAAGATTCAATATTCAAAATCCCTGTAGAGGTTTTTTTTTTTTCCCCCAATGGACAACATGATCCTAGGATTTATATGGAAATACAAAGAACCCAGAATAGCCAAAACAATTTTGAAGGGGGGAAAAAAAAGGAAAAACCTGAAGGATTTACATCATCCAATTCCAAAACTTACTAGAAAGTAAATCAAGATCGGGTGGTACTTGTGAAAGGATAGAAACACAGATCAATGGAATGAAATTGAGGGTTCAGAAATAAATCCTTGCGTTTTTGGTCCGTTGATGAACAAATGTGCCAAGACAATTCAACAGGGAAGGAAACATCTTTTAAACAAATGAGCTGCAACAGTAGGATATTCTTATGCAGTGAAAATGATTTACCTCCCTGATACCTCATACCACACACAAAAATTGACTCAAAATGGATCATAGATCTTGATGTAAGAACTAAAACTTTGGTCTGAAAATATGAATCTAAGAATTATCAAATTGGGATGAAATTTTGGTTGTGTCCATACGATACTGTCACTGGGAAACCCAGGAACACCCAAACCCTGCCCCATTGACAGTATCCTGGGGAAGATCAAAGCACAAGGGATCACAGCTGAAGAAGCACAGCACCGTTTGTGATTAAGGGGGCATGAGCCCCAAATCTGAATGAAGAAAACTGTGGTGAACGGGAGAGCCTGGAATTGAACCCCCCTTCTTTAGTTGGCATCTTCCCATTTTAAGTGACAGATAACCTCATCCAAACTGGCTTAAGAAGAACGAATTTATTGGGTTGTAAATGTGAAGTTCAAGGGTGGGGCTGACTACAAGGATGCTTTGTCCTGTACCTCAGTCTCCTGGTGTCTTTCCATCCATACCTTTACATACCCCCGTGTACTGACTCCATCCCCAGGCAGGCTGTCCCCTTGTGATTGAAGATGGTCGCCAGAAGTTCCAACATCCCATCTTCCCATCTCAGGTCCAGTGGAAAAGAGCATTTTCCTAACAGTCCCAGAAAAAGTCTCATTGGTTTTTGCCCCCTGAAACGAGCACTGTGGCCAGGATGGCACCATGCTCTGATGCGCAGGTCTGAGTTTTACGCTTTGTGGGACGGAGCTCCACAAAAACAACGTGTCTTAAGGATGAGAAAGAGGGTAGCTCCCCCCAGATAAACAGGATAACCGTTTCCAGGAGAAGAGTGAGTTTGGGTGCTAGGACGTAAATACAACAGGTGTGCCAGAACTGTATTTTTCAAAGCTAGTAATTTTTAACTTGCTTCATGCCAGATACAACTAGAAAACATCCATCAGATCCAGAGGGAGAGAGAAAGAGAAAGCAGTAAAAAATACATTAAAAAAAAAAGAGAGAGACACTCGGTCCCAAGTCCTGTTGCTTAACCCGGCCAGGCCCCGACCACAGCAGCCCGCGGAGCTCAGCTGCCACGCGGCAGAACGAGAACCGAGAACCGGAGAGGGAGAGGGAAGCTGAGGGGAAGGGAGTGCGGGCGGAATCTCTGCCGCAGGCCAAGTGGGCCTGCGCCCCAGTCACGGGGGAGAGCGGGAAGGAAGTCCGGGGAAGGTCAGCCGCGCCAGCAGGGGGCGGCCAGGTCTCCCCGGCGCAGCCGACCGGCCAGCTGCGCGAAGCGGGGACACAGAGCTGGGGCGCTGAGCCGCCTCCGGTGAGTGGTGCAGAATCGGTCTGTCTGAGTCAAGTCAGGAGAAAGGAAGAAACCAATGAAAGAGGCACCGCGTGAAGTGGTCTTCAG